CCCGGGAACAAGCACCAGGCACACACTGGCCTGTCTAGAGGGAGCACGGGATGTCTGGCTGTGTGCACAGCACGCCCAGCTGTTTCTGGGAAGCTGCGGAATTGATGGCTAAGGACACAGACAGCCCCACCACTGACCAGCAGCACAACGGGGGGTAAGTTGCTTATCCCTCTAGGCCTCAACATCTTCTATAAAGTGAGGAAAAGAACAGTTCCTCCTTCAGAGGGCAGCTGTGAGAATCAATTGCTCACCACAGTGCCTGCCCCACATCGAAGCAGATGGCTTTCCCCTTTATTCCGGGCTGCTGTCCGACACCCCATGCAGCTCACTTGACTCTTCTGTATTTGGCTTTGGCTCATTCTAGAACAACACCTTGATCTAGAGCCCCCAGAGCCTGGCCCCTTATTCCTCTCATCCCTACTTCCAGCTCTTGGACAATGCTCCCACAGAGGAGCAGGGAGGACCTCATAAGGGCGTCGAGTTTTGCAGGATGATTATTTAAGATTAAGCCTAAGAAAAGTAAGATATTTAAAAATAAACTTTATTAAAGTACTTAAACTTAGCATCAAATAACACTTTAAATGGTATACCTATGAAGCAAAAGGTAAATATAAACAACAGTCTAATTCCGTACACTTGTGATTAATTGTGACCATCTTAAGTTGCTCACTTCTTTCCCATTTACCAATTCAGAGAAAAGCCCCTTTCATGTTTTCTCTCACCTCTTTGCCTTGGCATCAAAGTAACCCTGCCTTGGGCTCCAGCTGCAGATCCTCCCCAGCCCTTCCTCCCAGCTGCACTGACTGCAGTCCCAGACCCACTCTCCGCCAACTGAGGGGGATATGCAGGGTTGTGTCTGGCTTCCAGCATCCACCACCCTTCAGAGCATCTTCCAGCACAGGACAGAGAGGAAGCTGGCACTGCTTGCTCTGAACAGATTTAAGGAGGTTTTATCACAAGGACCTGAAAACTACCTGAGCCTGTCTTCTCTTTGCACAGCTAAGGAGGGACAACAGAGGGCGGGTGGGTTGGGGGGCAAGGCCTCTCAATTGAGGGCTCCGAATCAGAGGGGGTAGATGCTGCCTTAGTCCTTCTTGGTTCCCAGGGCCGGGCTTCTTGTGAGGAGCTTTCCTGGGCTGGAGGGGGTCAGTGTGGAGACTGTAGGGGATTCCAGTTTCACTCTGTCTAGGAGGGTCTTCTTAAGGGCAGCTGGGGAGATCTTTTCTTGGTCGGCCATGGACTGTAGCTCTCTGCAGACAAAGCCCCAGAAAAATTGAGGGAAGGCAATAAACCTTGGGGCCAGAGCTTTGAGTCTCCACTATCCACACAACCCTCAAGCTTGTTGATCTGACACCATCAAAAGAGAAATTAGAGCCCCAAGACAAATGCTTCCCAACTAGTACTTCTAAGAAGTACTAGTTAACTAAGTATGGGCTTCTCTTATTTTATCTCATTTGATCTGAGCTAGACAGAGCCCCAAGTGTTATCTGTGATTATATGTGGAAAGTACAGGGTTGGGAGTCATAGACTCAAATTAGAATCCTGTCTCCATCACTTTTTAGCTGTTTGACCTTGGGAAAATTGTTTCTGAGCCTCAACTTCCCCTCTGTAAGTCAAAGTTAATCCTGGCTAGCTGAAATGCAGTGAGCATTAAATGAAATAAGGCTTGCAAATTCTTAAACAAAATCTACTACTAAGTCATGGTTATAAACAGAGCACAGACTCCAGCACTGCTAAATGGGACCCAAGACAGCAGGTTACACAAACGGTGTTCAACTCAGCCCAGGGGCCAACTAGGAATGAAGGACCAGGGGCAGAGGACAGCAGGGTGGACTCACCGTGTTCGGACACAGGAGGCCTCAACTGCATTGATGAGCAGAGACCGGAAGCCCCCACTCTCTAGAAAGTGCAGGGCGTGGATGGTGGCTCCCCCAGGGGAGCAGACGTTGTCCTTGAGCTGGCCTGGATGCTGCTCCGAGTCCAGCAGCATCTTGGCAGCTCCCTATGGGGAAGGGCACAGTAGGAGAAAGCTACTGGTACACATTGGAACAGGCTTCCCGACACCCACTGCTACCTCAGCTTCCCAACCAATCCCCGCCCCAGCTCGGTGACCCACAAGAACCCCCATTCCACACCCTGGTTCTGAACATGCAAGGGAAAGATACTGACCAGCAAGGCCTGAGCCCCAAGTCGGACTGCCAGGCGCCGTGGCAAACCCATCTTCACCCCACCATCAGCCAATGCGTCCAGCGCCATGAATGCCTGTGGGGACACTCACTAAGCCCCAGGCCATAGGCACTGAAGGGCCTTTCCTAAGGTCTGCTTACTGATGACTGGAACTAGCTCCAAAAGTCAGCATTCTCCACCAGCCAGCTGGGCCCAAGAGGTGGGCACCACCCCCTGCCCAAGACTGCCTGCCAGCCCATCTTGCTGCCTGGGTTCCTGGAAAGGTGAGTAAGCAAATGAGGGCCTCACGTAGGCAGGCCCGCTGCCACTGAGCCCTGTAACAGCATCAATGAGGTCCTCTTCCACCTCAGTGCAGAAGCCCACGCTGCTCATAAGCTGCTCCAGAAGCTGCCCATCCTCCACCAAGGCATGAGTGCCTGTGGCGTACACTGTAGCACCCTCCCGCACTACCACAGGTGTGTTGGTCATGCAGCGAATCACTTTGGGGGCTGGCTGAAACGCCATCAGCTTCTAGGGTAAGGGAGAGAGCCAAGTAAGTGGGCAGGGCACAGCTCCTACCAACACCCACCCATTAGCTGTGATCCTTGGGTCAACCCTCCCCTCACACAAGGGGCATCAGGGCTGAGACAAGCACCTTCTCCACAGAGCTGATGGTGACACCAGCCGCACAGGAGACCACGATGTGTCTGGCTTGAACGTCGGCCCCAATCTCATCCAGGATGAAGGGGATGATATGTGGCTTCACAGTCAGAAACAGGACATCGCTGTGCCTCACCGTCTCCTTGTTGCTGCGTGTCAGGTTCACACCCATCTTCTGCAAGAGGAGTCTCCCAGCTCACAGTGCTGGAGCAGCCTGGCTATGCCAAGGCCTCCCAGGGAGGAGCTGAACCCCTGCCAAACCCATTCTGCCAGCTGCAACCTGGAATCCTTAGCCCTATGCTCTCAGGGTTCTGCCCTTACCCTAAATGATATTGTTTCCCATTGTTGCTACTGAGCAAGTAAGTACACTCCAGGCAAGTAAGCTTGGAACATGACAAGGTTCTCCATGGCAAACAGAAAGTGGTGCCCTTCCCTGCCAATCTTCTGGCACCTAAGGCACTCCTCTGCCAGGTAAGAAGGCCGCATGGTGAAGAGTTGCAGGGAAAAGGAGAATGCAAATACCTGAGGGTCAGAAGCACAGCTGAGTCAGGCCCTGTCCCTATCCTGGCCACTCGTTCATGGGACTGCACAGTCTTCATGTGGTCCAGGGCTAGCGTGGCTACCCATCCCTCTATAACTCCAAAATGAGAAGCAAGACCCTCCAGTACTGGGACATCAGCCCATCCTTGGCACAAACACTACTTGTCATCCGCCTCATCAGCCATCCTCTCCCACACAGCACAGGTTTTGGGTGAAGACTTGGAATATGTTTTTGGAGAGCAGAACAACTAACTCACCACATTCTTCCCAACATGCTCATTCATGACTCAGAATAACGGCAAAGTGGCCACTGTGGTAAATGAGAAAATAGCCTCAAAGTGGCTGAGTACTTTAAGGTCATACAACTAGGCTATCAAGAAAAATGAGCACAGTGTCTCACCCTTGTAATCCCAGCACTCTGGAAGGCCAAGGCAGGCAGACCACCTGAGGCCAGGAGTTTGAGACCAGCCTGGCCAGCAGTATTCTCTACTAAAAATACAAAAATTAGTCGGGAGTGGTGGGTGCCTGTAATCCCAGCTACTCGGGAGGATTGCTTGAACCCGGGAGGGAGAGGTGGCAGTGAGCTGAGATTGCGCCACTGCACTCCAGCCTGGGTGACAGAGTGAAACCCTGTCTGAAAGAAAAAAAAAGTATTTATTGGGTACCTACTATGCGCCAGGTGCTTTCCTCATGTAATGATATCAGTTAATCCTCTACCACTCCAGTGTCTGGATCTGACGCCCGGTATATGTCTGCCTGGATGCACCCACCACACTGAGCTGCCCAACAGAAGGTGTAAAGATTGTGATGTTCCTGGAGTGGAGGTCACCGCCGGCCAAAGACCAGCACAGGGGCACAGGGGCCGGCCGGACTCACTTCATCTCAGGTCATCCTTTTCCTGGGCCTCCACCCGCTTCCCGCCCCGCCCCGCTCCACCTACCCTGAGCGCGGACACCGTGGGCAGGTCCATTTCCGGGGAGCTGGCTATTATCTTGTGAGCCGACAGGATGCCTGCAGAAGACCGGGCTTTTCAACTAGGGGTCGCGGCTCAGCCCTTTCCGACGCTTTCCCTGGGAAAGCAGAATTAAAACCCAGAGCCCTCCTAACAGTGCCAGTGTCCCTCTCCCCCTCAACGCCCTACGACGACAGAAGACGCACTTGCTGCTTAACCAGAGTCTCATCTACCCCACCGGACGCAAATTCCCCTTTCATTCGTTCATGCTGTGGGGCGGGAGGCTCGGGACTCGGGACTCGGGACCCGGGACTGCCCGCGAAGCCGCCTCCCGCCTCCATACGCTTGCCTGCAGCTGTGAAGCCCCGCGCCAGCGCACAGGCCAGCTGGCCGGCGCCGATGAAGCCCACGCTCATGGTCCGCAGTTCACGCCTCCTGGCAGCCGCAAGAACCAGCTCAGCGCGGGCCCGAGATACCGCTGAGGGAAGGGTGGACGGTACAGGGGCCAACGGGCAGCGTGCCGAGGGCGGGCGAGCTCCCAGCGGCTTCTGGGATGGGGCAGTGCGAGACGACTCCGGCGGGAATCTGGCCGGCTGCAGATGACGCCCTAGGCCATGTGACCCCGCCCCATCCGGGCGACCAATCCGTGGCCAGTAGCTCGGGGCGGGCCAATCCACGGCGGCTCCTGGGCCGCTTGCCCGTCTCCTCCGCTCGCGACTGGCGGGCGAAACTCCGGAAGCGAGTCCCGGAAGCTCTTGTGACAGCTTGGCGTGAGCACCAGGGGCCCGCGGGTCCAGGACTCGCGACGCCCCACCCCAGGGCTGAGGTCGCGGTCCCTACGCTGCCTCGGTCTCAGAACTGAGGCCCGGCCCAGGCCTGGCTAATATTATTTATGGCACTGGCCATCAATTGCCCCTCGTGGCCCAGAGGAATACTCCAGGTTTCCGATTTGAGGGGATGAACGAGGTCCCCCTGGCGTACGTTCAGACAGGGTAGCGGAGAGGCGGCACCAGGTTGGTCAGCCGCGGCTTATTCACTTGAACTTGGGTGGTTCTCGCGAATTTACCCAAACTAAATACAAGTAGGACCAGTTCGAGGCTCCGTCCGACTCTTCCGCGAGAGCCTGCCACCCCAGCCCCTTGCCTGCCACCCCAGCCCCTTGCTGTCACTTTCCTTTTTTTTTTTTTTTGAGACGGAGTTTCGTTCTTGTTGCTCAGGCTGAAGTGCAATGATGTGATCTTGGCTCACTGCAACCTCTGCCTCCTGGGTTCAAGCAATTCTGTCTCAACCTCCCGAGTAGCTGGGATTAAAGGCGCATGCCACCATGCCCGGCTAATTTTTTTGTATTTTTATTAGAGATGGGGTTTCACCATGTGAGTCAGGCTTGTCTCGAGTCCCTGACCTCAGGTGATCCACGTGCCTTGGCCTCCCAAAGTACTGGGATTACAGGCGTGAGCCACCACTCCCGGCCTTCAATTTTTGTAAGTTTTGTTCAAATTATTGTGATAAAATCTTTGCCTGACTCATTATTTTCTTAATGTGAATCTCTAAAAGCGAGATTTGTAAGGTCCAGTGGTTTGGGGCTTTCAGGGCTCTCATAGCTGCGATGTTGCAGCATAACCTAATGATTACCAGCTTAAAGCTCTGAAACCAGAAGCCCAGCAGTTCAAACTGGCTGAAGGAAAAGGAGGGCTTCTGTATGGCACCTGGGAAAGGGATAGGGGAGCTCACAGACCGGAAGGGTCACCTACAGGATACAGGACCTCGGGAATGGAACTAGAACGTTGCACTGCCAGCACTTCCCCTCTGCTCCTTGTCTTGTTCTATTTGCCTGTGTTTGATCTCCCTTAAGTTGTAGAAGAGTCTTTGTCAGGCAGTGAGGAAGCTGGGGGTCTACCCTCTTTCACAACTTCCTAACGCTGCCTGCTTCTCTGCAGGATACTCATCCACCCCTTGGTCTGCCAGGGCACTACAGGGCTCTTTGCTTTTCCTGCCTCTGGTCTGTTGTGGGGAGCTCTGGATCTGGCCTGCAGTACAGGAGGTTGTGCTGAAGCTGAATGTGTGTTTTAGGGTGTGGTGTGGAGGACGCTTATGTCTCACTCCTTCCCAACCCCTTATACACACCCATCCCTTACCTGGTTGCCTTGATATCTCCCACTTCTAATTCCAGGAGCCAGGGTGAAATAGGAGAATAGCAAAAGCCTAAGAAAGGAGACCATGTTGGTGACCCCCAGTGTTGGCTTGATCCCCAGGCAGGACCAGCTACATAATAGATGGAGCAGCAAAGGTACTTGCTTTTCTAAGTTTGGACTTAAAGCTTTTTTGTAGTAGTAGTAGTTTTGATTTATTATTATTTTCGAGACAGAGTCTCACTCTATCACCCAGGCTGGAGTGCAGTGGCATGATCATGGCGATTCCGCTGCCTCAGCCTCCCAAGTGGTACTGCAGGCACACCACCATGCCTAAATTTTTGTATTTTTATTAGAGACAGGGTTTCACTGTGTTGGCCAGAATGGTCTCAAACTCCTGACCTCGTGATCCACCTGCCTCGGCCTCCCAAAGTGCTAGGATTACAGGCGTGAGCCACTGTGCCTGGCCTCTATTATTTTTTCATCTCCAAAGTTTAAAGTTTATATATACAACATTTGTTATCTATTATATTTTAATTTTAAAAAATATAAAATGGAAATAACAAAAGAGAAAACAACAAAAAATAAAAGTAAGAAAACAAAATAAAAATCCAAATACTATATATATGTAATAGAGACGGGGATCTCACTATTTTGTTCTAGGTTGATCTTAAACTCCTGACCTCAAGCAATCTTCCCTCCTCAGTGTCCCAGTGTTAGGATTACAGGCATGAGCCATCGCTCCCTGCCTGTTATCTATTTTAAATGTAGGCAAGCCCATTTTATTCTCTTAACAACCTTGCTAACTCTAAAGGCCCATTTCCTTGGTGCTGTGGCCACTGCCTTGGTCTCCAAGGCAATCATATCTGATGCCTGTGAAGTTCTTCTGAGCTGAAGTTGAGGAGAGAAGAGGGGAAGCCCATTGTTCCCACCCAGGCACCCTAAAGGACACCCCCAGCCTTGCATTGCCATCCTACCATGGGACATACTCAGTCTCTGCTGACACTTGTATTCTTGGACACCCACTATCCTTTTGCTGTCTCTAAACAGACACGTCCACAAGGCTGCCAGGACCACCTACCTTCACCTCTCTACTCCCATCCTTTCATCTGCCAGTCAGTCAGGTTCAGCTGTTCATGCCCTGCCTCCCTCTTCACTCCCCTCAGTCCTGCCTGATGGCCCCGTCCAGGTCTCAGACAAAGTGGATGCTGCTTCACTGCTGTCTGCTTGTTCTGCTTCTTCACTGTTAGGGCCTCAGGGCCTCCCTCCTGGCCTATCTCTAAACAGCGGCCAATCTCACCTAAGAACTGAGATGACCTAGGCGGTGAGAGAGAAGCGTGCGCTGCTCACAGCTAAACAGATGGCAAGTGCTTTGGCCCTCAATCTCTGTGTCCTAGGAACCTCTCCAAAAGAGGCACATTTTTGGGTGCATTTTTGCATTTCTTTCTGTTATTGCATAAATAATCCATGTTTATTTTAGAAAAATTAGAAATGAGATCAAATGGAAGGCCTGGTGCAGTCCCAGCACTTTGGAGATCAAGGCAGGCAATCATTTGAGAACAGGAGTTTGAGACCAGCTTAGCCAATGTGGTGAAACCCTGCCTCACTAAAAATACAAAAATTAGCTGGGCATTATGGCCTGTGCTTGTAATCCCAGCTATTCTGGTGACTGATGCACAAGAATCGCTTGAACCCAGGAGTCGGAGGTTGCCGCTGCCCTCCAGCCTGGGCAACAAAGTGACACTCTGCCTCAAAAAAAAAAGATCGAATGGAAAAACAAACATTGCTTTCAATCTCACCACACAAAGATTTAGAACCAATGTGATCCTTTTGGAGTGTAACTCTCTTCACTTCTTTTTCCTATGCAATAGGCACATTAAAACTTGATTTTGGCCTGGTGTGGTGGCTCATGCCTGTAATTCCAACACTTTGGAAGGCTCAGGCAGGAGGATTGCTTGAGCTCTCAGAAGTTCAAGACCATCCTGGGTAACATGGTGAAACCCTGAATCTACAAAAAAAAAAAAAAAAAATTAGCCGGTGTGGTGGTACGTGCCTATAGTCCCAGCTACTGGGGAAGGGGAGGTGGGAGGATCACTTGAGCCTGGGAGGCAGAGGTTGCAGTGAGCTAAGATCCTTCCACTGCACTCCAGCCTGAGCAATAGAGTGAGACCTGGCCTCAAAAAGAAAAACAAAACCTTTTTTTTTTTGAGATAGAGTCTTGGTGTGTCACCCAGGTTGCACTGCAGTGGCACAATCTCATTTCACTGCAAACTCTGCCTCCTGGGTTCAAGTGATTCTCCTGCCCCAGCCTCCTGAATAGCTGGGATTACAAATGTGCACCACCACACCCAGCTAATTTTTGTATTTTTAGTAGAGATGGAGTTTCCCCATGTTGGCCAGGCTGATCTTGAACTCCTGACTTGAGGTGACCCACCTGTCAGTGCCTGGGAGGCAGAGGTGGCCTCTGAAAGTGCTGGGATTATAAGTGTGAGTCACCGTGCCCGGCCAAAACCTTGATATATTTTATTTTTTTAATTTATTTATTTATTTATTTATTTGAGATGGCGTCTCACTCTGTCACCCACACTGGAGTGCAGTGACGCAATCTCAGCTCACTGCAACTTCCACCTTCTGGGTTCAAGCAATTCTCCTGCCTCAGCCTCCTGAATAGCAGGGATTACAGGCATGCACCACTATGCCCAGCTAATTTTGTATTTTCAGTAGAGATGGGGTTTCACCATGTTGGTCAAGCTGGTCTCGAACTCCTGACCTTGTGATCTGCCTGTGTTGGCCTCCCAAAGTGCTGGGATTACAGGTGTGAGCCACCACACCCAGCCCCAAAACCTTGATTTTTAAAATAAGTATGTACTCATGCAGCATGTAAACAGGTGATATATAAAAACTAAAATAATTTTGCTTTAAGATGGTGGAATTATGAGTGGTTTTTAATACATTCAAAATTATCTTCTTTTTTTTTTTTTTTGAGATGGAGTTTCGCTCTTGTTGTCCAAGCTGCAGTGCAATGGCATGATCTCGGCTTGCTGCAACCTCTGCCTCCCAAGTTCGAGTGATTCTCCTGCCTCAGCCTTCTCTCTCTCTCTCTCTCTCTCTCTTTCTTTCCTTTTCTTTCTTCCTTTCTTTCTCTTTCTTTCCTCTCTTTGTCTCTTTCTTCTTTCTTGACAAGTTCTTGCTCTGTCACCCAGGTTAAAGTGTAGTGGCATCCTCACAGGTCACTGCAGCTTCAACCTCCCAAGCTCAAGCGTTCCTCCCACCTTAGCCTCCCAAGTAGCTGGAACTACAACCACTACACCTGGCTACTTTTTTGTATTTCTTAAAGTATAGACATTGGGGGTGGTCTCACTATGTTGCACAGGCTGGTTTTGAACTCCCTGGCTCAAGCAATCTGCCCACCTCGGCCTCCCAAAGTGCTGGCATTACAGACTTGAGCCACTGCACCTGGCCCTTTATTTCATCTTTTAAATGAAAAAAATTATAATTACATCCCCCTTGGGATTTGGCTTACTGTCTGTATTAATTTTCTATTGCTTCTATAATAATTCATCACAAATTTAGCCGCTTAAAACAAAACAACTTTATCTCACATTTTGTAGATTAAAAGTCTGAGTGGGAGCCAGGTACCGTGGCTTCAAGCCCATAATCCCAGCACTTTGGAAAGCTAAGGTGAGAGGACTACTTGAGCCCAGGAGTTTGAGGCCAGCTTGGGCAACATAGGAAGTCCCTTCCCTCTATAAAATTTTTAAAAATTAGCCAGTATGGTGGTATGAGGCTGTAGTCCCAGCTACTTGGGGAATTTGAGGTGGGAGGGTCACTTGAGCTTGGGAGATCAAAGATGTAGTGAGCTATGATCATGCCACTGTACTCCAGTCTGGGTGGCAGTGAGACCCTGTCTTAAAAACAAAACAAAAAAAAACACAAAAACAAACAAAAAAGCAGTCTGAGTAGGCTCAGCTGGTTTCTCTGCTCCAGGTCTCACAAAGACAAATCCCCACGTCAGCTGATGATCTGGGCTCTTATCTGGAGGCTGTTGAGGAGGATCCACCTTCAGACTCATTCAAGTGTTGGCAGAATTCACTTCCATATGGTTGTAGAACTGAGGTCCCCTTTCCTGGCTGGCTATCAGCTGGGAGTTGGCCCACCTTTTAGAGGCTACTCACATTCTCTAGCTCATGGCCTCCCTCATCTTCAAACCAGCAATGGTAGGGCAAGGGCTTCTCATGTTTCAAATCTCTTTGACCTCCCCCTTCTACCTCTTCTCTCCTGCCTCCAGCCAGAGAAAGTTCTCTGCTTTGAAGGGCTCATGTGATTAGATTGGGCACACTCAGATAATCTCCCTATTTTAAGGGTTGTAACCTTAATTACATCTGCAGAATCCTTTTCGCTGTGTAACATAACATAGTCACAGGTTGCAAGGATTAGGGCCTGGGTGTCTTTGGGGAGAGCATTCTGTCTACCACATTGTCTCTCTGTCCTAATGAGCACATCCTACATTTTGAAATGAAGCCAATCTCCTGCATTTTTTTTTTTTTTTTAGCTCACACTCAGCCTGGTGTGAGCAGGCCCATCCTTGCCACTGACTGCATGTGACTACCTGGGAATCCACAGATCTTTTGGAGCGACAGATACATCATTGTGTAGCTGGTGGAGTTATCAGGTGATATTGATATTGATAGTACATAAAGCAACCATATGTCCTGGTATTTACAACACCCCAAGTGGAAAGGCTGCATTCTGATGTCTTACGGAGGTGATTTGGCCATTTATAGGTCAGAGCCAAATCCTCTCCTACTATCTTCAACAATATTCTTGCCAAGTCTCAAATCTTGGCTGTCCTTAGACATTTTTTTAGCTCTGTTTTTCTTCTATTTTTTTTTTTATTTCATCATTTCATTATTTATTTATTTATTTTGAAACAGAGTCTCGGTCTGTCACCCAGACTGGAGTGTAGTGGCAAGATCTTGGCTCACTGGAACCTCCACTTCCCAGGTTCAGGCGATTCTCTAACTCAGCCTCCCAAATAGCTGGGATCACAGGCATGCACCACGATGCCCGGCTAATTTTTGTATTTTTAGTAGAAACAGAGTTTTACCATGTTGGCCAGGCTAGTCTTGAACTCCTGGCCTAAAGTGATCCACCTGTCTCGGCCTCCCAACATGCTGGGATTACAGGTGTGAGCCACCACACCCAGCCTATTTTTCTTCTATTATTTAGTTAGTATTAATTAGCTTTGTAGGTGAGGAATAGAGAGTCCTTTATCTTGAAGTACAGCCATGCCTCACTTAACAATGGGGATACGTTCTAAGAAACGCATTCTTAGGCGATTTCATTGCTGTGGAGATATCATGGAGCGCATTCACATAAACCTACACGGTAGAGCTTACTACACAGCTAGACTATGTGGTATAGCCTATTGCTCCTAGGCTACAAACCTGTACGGCATGTTACTGTACCGAATACTGTAGGCAATTGTAACACAATGGCATTTGCGTATCTAAACACACCTAAACATAGAGAACGTACAGTAAAAACATAGTGTAAATATTTTAAAATGGCACAACATCTGTGAATGGAGTTTGCAGGACTGGAGGCTGCTCTGGGTGAGTCAGTGAGTGAGTGGTGAGTGAATGTGAAGGCCTAGGACATTACCGTACACTACTATAGACGTTATGACACCATATACTTAGCCTACACTAAATTTGTAAAAATAAATTTTTCTTTCTTTGATACTTGACCTCAGGCTAGGTGCGGTAGCTCGCGCCTGTAATCCCAGCACTTTGGGAGGCCAAGGGGGGTGGATCACGAGGTCAAGAGATCGAGACCATCCTGGCCAACATGGTGAAACCCCATCTCTACCAAAAATACAAAAAATAGCCGGGCATGGTGGCACGTGCCTGTGGTCCCAGCTACTCGGGAGGCTGAGGCGGAAGAATCGCTTGAATCCAGGAGGCAGAGGTTGCAGTGAGCCGAGGTTGCGACACTGTACTCCAGCCTGGCGATAGAGCAAGACTCCGTCTCAAAATAATAATAATAATAGTTGACCTTAGCTTTCTGTAACTTTTTTAGTTTATAAACTTTAAATTAAAAAAACTTTCTCAGCCATAAAAAACGATGAGTTAGTATCCTTTGTAGGGACATGGATGAACCTGGAAATCATCATTCTCAGCAAATTGACACAAGAACAGAAAATCAGCGGGGTGCGGTGGCTCACACCTATAATCCCAGCACTTAGGGAGGCCGAGGCGGGTAGATCATGAGGTCAAGAGATCAAGACCATCCTGGTCAACAAGGTGAAAAATACTTGACTGTCTCTACTAAAAATACAAAAATTAGCTGGGCATGGTGGTGCCCGCCTGTAATCCCAGCTACTCAGGAGGCTGAGGCAGGAGAATTGCTTGAACCCAGAAGGCAGAGGTTGTGGTGAGCCGAGATCGTGCCATTGCACTCCAGCCTGGGTAACAACAGCGAAACTCTGTCTCAAAAAAAAAAAAAAAGAACAGAAAATCAAACACCGCATATTCTCACTCACAGGTGGGTGTTGAACAATGAGAACACATGGACGCAGGGAGGGGAGTATCACACACTGGGGTCTGTGGGGGGGAACTGGGGAGGGACAGCAGGGGGTGGGGAGTTGGGGAGGGATAATATGGGGAAAAATGTCAGATATAGGTGATGGGGAGGAAGGCAGCAAACCACATTGACATGTATGTACCTATGCAACAATCTTGCATGTTCTTTACATGTACCCCAAAACCTAAAATGCAATAAAATACATATTAAAAAAAACTTTCTCTTTTGTAATAACAAAATATAAATGTATTGTACAGATGTATACAAACATTTTTCTTTTTAGCCTTATTCTTTTAATTTTTGGGGCGGGAGGACAGAGTCTCACTCTGTCACCTAGGCTGGAGTGCAGTAGTGTAATCTTGGCTCACTGCAACCTCCGCCCCACAAGCTCAAGCAATTCTCTGCCTCAGCCTCCCTAGTAGCTAGGATTACAGGTGCCCACCATCACACCCAGCTAATTTTTGTTTTTATCCTGGGCTACAGAGACCAAATTTTTTTTTTTTTTTTTAGTAGAGACAGGGTTTCACCATCTTGGCCAGGCTGGTCTTGAACTCCTGACCTTGTGATCCACCTGCCTCAGCCTCCCAAAGGGCTGGGATTACAGGCTGAGCCTGTTTTACAGTTAACTTTGATTTTTTTAATAAGTAGAAAGAGTACTCTAAACTAAGGTATAGTAAATACGTAACAGTGACAGTCACTTATCAAGTATTAGGTACTTTAAATAATTGCATGTGCTATGCTTTATTTTATTTTATTTTTTGAGATGGAGTCTTGCTCTGTCGCCTAGGCTGAAGTGCTGTGGTACGATCTCAGCTAACTGCAACCTCCACCTCCTAGGTTCTCCTGCCTCAGCCTCCTGAGTATCTGGGACTACAGGCATGTGCCACCACACCTGGTTAATTTTTGTATTTTTAGTAGAGATAGGGTTTCACCATATTGGTCATGCTGGTCTCGAACTCCTGACCTCAGGTGACCCACCCACCTCAGCCTCCCAAAGTGCTGGGATTACAGGTGTGAGCCACCGTACCAGGCCTAGCATGTGCTATGTTTTTATACAAGTGTCAGCAGAGTGGGTGTGTTTATATCAGCATCACCACAAACACATGAGTAATGGGTTGTGCTAGGACATTATAATGACTTTGATGTCACTAGACTATAGGGATTTTTCAGCTCCATTGTAATATTATGGGACCACCATTGTATATGTGGTCTGTCATTGACCGAACCATCATTTTGTGGTACATGAGTGTATAACTTTCTCCACAGACAAGCATAAGGAAACGCAGCTGAATGGGAAAGCTAAATGGAGGGGAATTGGATAAGATAGCTCCCAATGACATTTTAACTTAATGCTTGTGTCATCAGCAGAGCAGCTTATCGGGGACTGGCATGGGAAGGTGTTTATAATCCATTCTATGGAAGAGATTCAACACACTTGCATTACCTCAGGCTGTTTCTTCATCTAAAAAAATAGGAATAATACCACCTACTTCATGGGATAGCTGCAAGAATTAAGTGACATATGTGGCAATGCCTAGCCCAGCTCCCTGATTCATAGTGAATGCTCCAGAAATGTTAGCTTGCACACCCAATATAGGAACACCCAGATACATAAGACAAGTTCTTAATGACTTATAAAGAGACTTGGACTCCCGCACAATAATAACGGGAGACTTTGACACCACATTGTTAATATTCGATGGATCAACGAGATAGAAAATTAACAGCAACATCTATGATTTGAACTCAGAACAAGTAAACTGAGTGAATATTTACAGAATTCTTCACCCCAGGTCCACAGAACATACATTTTTCTCAGTATCACATTACACCTATTTTGAAAGTGACCACATAATTGGAAGTAAATCACTCCAGCATTTGCATAGCATTTCACAGACTTAAATGAAATATTGGTTGGCTGTTTGTTATTTTCATCCCTTATTTATTCCTGTCTCCTCTGTTAAGCACAATTGTCAACATAAAAGAGGTTTTTAATACCTATTTTTAGATTGCATTCCAGCCTGGGCAATAGAGCAAGACTCCTGTTCTCTCTCCCCCTTTCTTTTCCTCTTTCTTTCTAATTAAAAAAAAAGAAAGAAAGAAAAAAAAAAAGAAACATTAGCTTGCTTACCACACTACTGTCAACCCCTGTTGCCCATCACCACTATTAGTTGTTACAGTGCTTTCTAAAGAGGAGCCAGGCTGGGTACAGTGGCTCACGCCTATAATCCCAGCACTTTGAGAGGGTGAGGTAGATGGATCACTTGAGGTCAGGAGTTCGAGACCAGCCTGGCCAAGAGACCAGCCTGACCAATATGGTGAAATCCCATCTCTACTAAAAATATTTTTAAAAATTCGCTGGGCATGGTGGTGGGCACCTATAATCCCAGCTACCTGGGAGGCTGAGGCAGGAGAATTGCTTGAACCCAGGAGGCATGAGCCAAGCTAGTGCCATTGCACTCCAGCCTAGGTGACAGAGCGAGACTCTGACTTAAAAAAAAAAAAAATACAAAAACTAGGCTGGGTGCAGTGGCTCATGCCTGTAATCCCAGCACTTTGGGAGGCCGAGGCAGGCAGATCACCTGAGGTCAGGAATTCAAGACCAGCTTGACCAACATGGTAAAACTATTAAAAAAAAAAAACTAAAATATTAGCTGGCCATGGTGGTGCACGCCTGTAGTTCTAGCCACTCTGGAGCCTGAGGCAGGAAAATCGCTTGAACCCAGGAGGCAGAGGTTGCAGTGAGCGGAGATCGTACCACTGCACTCCACCGTGGGCAACAGAGCAAGACACCGTCTCAAAAAAAAAAAAAAAAAAAAAAAAGGGCATGGTGACACATTCCTAAAATCAAAGCTACTCTGGAGGCTGAGGCATGAGAATTGCTTGAACCTGAGAGATGGAGGTTGCAGTGAGCCAAGATCGCGCCACTGTACTCCAGCCTGGGTGACAGAGAGAGACTGTCTCAAAAAAAAAAAAAAAAAAGAGGCTGCAGTGCTCACTTTGGCAGCACGTATACTAAAGAGGAGGCGTATGTGAGTGATTGTTTACTATTTTTGGAATGAGAGTTGTGTGGGAAAATAGAAATATCATAAATGAAAGCCTCATCTAAATTTAGTTATTATAGTCTTCAGTGCCCCCTAGAAGTTGGGGGTCCTTTCTTCAGATCATTATGTTGCTCTCATTCCCCATTATTGCTCCTGGAGATTAAATACAGAGATACAGAGTGAAACATCACTTTTTATTTCTTCTGAGTATCTACATTCAATTGCTTTGCCTAAATTAACAAAAAACACACAAATACATATGGTTTCTGGTGACAAGTTCTCTAAGACAGTGGGGGACATGATCTAAATGCGCACAGGCAAGGCTCGGTCTCCAGAGGGGTGGGCAGAGGCAGGTAGGAGCTGTCTGATCCTCAGGGCAATGAAGTCTTAGAGCTGAAGCCCAGCTCCTCCTTTTTAAGAGGAAGTGATGACCCAAAGCCTCCTGTGTTTCAGGTTCTAGCTTATGGCCCTGTCAGATCCAGAAACCAGGCATCCCAACTCCCTGTCCACTGTCCCCACCCTGAAGCCCTTCATCCTTCCTCTTAGCACCCTCTCAGGGGAACAGGGGCATAGGTATGTTTACAAAAGACCAGAATGGGCCAGTATTTTGGGGAAATAGAGATTTGGGAGTTTTAATTCCTCATATAATAGAGCAAATCAGTTCTATTTCCCCAGTTCTAATCATAGGGTATTGTTCCAGACTCAGTTAAGAATTTGCCAGAGAACAGACACTCCCAGTTGACAATCTGTGCATTGCTCAGCTGTATCTTCTAATCAGCAGGCCAGCATTTCCTACTAGCGCTCAGCATCTGAGCTGCATTATTTACTCACGTAAGTGCTTAGGATGGGTGATGGACAGGAAAGACAGGAGAGGGAAGGACACAGGGCAAAGGTCATACAGGAGCACTAAATTGGGATGGAGGTAACTTGCTATGTTTAAAATTAAGACCTACATTAAGACCACTTCTATGCACATGTTCAGTTACAGGGCTCAGTGGCTACACCAGGGACCTACGGCTGGAGCCTCCTTGGCACGAGCGCCCCATCCGAGGCACAGCTGCACTTCTGCACCCTCATGTTGGGCAGGCTGACCACCTGGGGCCTGGTCCTGCCTCCCTCCTTGATGCTGACAATCATGGGCAGTGAGGCGGTCTCTGAGGCGATGCACTGTCGTGGCCCCAGAACCGGCCACTTGAAGGCCAGGGCCTCCGGGGGCTGCTGGCAGGTGCCCACACACTCATGAGCCAGGAAGCCTGGGGGCTCTAGCACCCAGTTCTCTGCCCACTTCATCCCCTGCAGGTCAATGTACATCTCCTGGCGGCAGCATCGGGTGCCCTCGGTCACTGGTGCTTCAGGGTCACAGTCGCCCTGAGCCCTGTGTGGGCAAAGAGAAGTAGGGTCAGAGGTCAGCTGTGAAGGCTGAGGTCAGAAGGCCTAGGGTACAGCTTAGTGGGTGCCTGGGAGGGAGATTTGTGATCCAGCTCTCACTGTGTTCTAAAAGCTGGATATTTGTGAGAAGATGAATTAATAAACATAACTGAAACATAAATAATAAATCAGCTACTATTAATTAAAGGTCTCCTAATAGGCCAGACATTGAACTAGGTACTTCGAATGTATTATCTCAGGTGATGTCTGCATTTCAACCTCAGGTAGGTTCCACCATTATCCCCATTTCACCTGAGGCCACTGAGACCCAGAGTGTTTGGTGATGTGCCAGAGGACCTGCAGCCAGCAGAAGGCAGAGCTAGATGGAAGCTATGACTGGTTCCAAGGCCTCTTCTTAACCACTGTGCTATGCAGCCCCAGAGAGCTAATCTGTCCACGAGAAAAGAATTCATCAAAACAGGAGGAAAGCTGTTCATCCTTAGCAACAGCTAAAGGTAGGATTTTTCAAAGACTTAATCATGGAGAAGGGTAAAGTGAAAGTAGATAATTACAATTGTGTGTATATGAGTCAATGGCAACATAAAAATCCACTGAAAATTATCAAAGATATTTTTCAATAAAATGAATAATACAACTCCTTCCTTCCTTCCCTCCCTCCCTCCCTCCTTCCTTCCCTTCTTCCCTCCTTCCCTTCTTCCTTCCTTCTTTAATAGAGACGGGGGTTTCACCATGTTAGCCAGGTTGGTCTGGAACTCCTGACCTCAGGTGATTCACCGGTCTCGCCCTCCCAAAGTGTTGGGATTACAGGCGTGAGCCACCGTGCCTGGTATTTTTATTTATTTATTTGTTTGTTTGTTTGAGATGGGTTTTGCTCTTGTTGCCCAGACTGGAGTGCAATGTTGCAATCTCGGCTCACTGCAACCTCTGCCTCCCGGGTTCAAGCAATTCTCCTGCCTCAGCCTCCTGAGTAGCTGGGATTACAAGCGCCTGCCACGACGCCCAGCTAATTTTTGCATTTTTAGTAGAGACGGGGTTTCAGCATGTTAGCCAGGCTGGTCTGGAACTCCTGACCTCAGATGATTCACCGGTCTCGCCTTCCCAAAGTGTTGGAATTACAGGCGTGAGCCACTGTGCCTGGCCTGAATAACACAATTTCTACCATTAGAAACCCTGACATGTAGTGGACAATTGGCGGCATCCTGGGACAGTATGCACAGCACTTCCCGCCCCCCTCCCCGCCCCTACCCCCACAACCCAGCCATCCTGTCACCCAGCCAGTCCTGGGGACGGGGGTCTGGGCAACCCAGTGGCTGCTTGTCTCTGATCTCCCCAGTCCGGCACTTACCCGTAGTCCCTGAGGTCCAGGGTGTGCAGCTCCAGCTGGGGCTCCCCACGCCCCTCCGGCGTCCCCTGAGAGGCGAAGCGGACCAGCCTGTGGGCTTCGGACGCCCCCGGGCCCAGGTGCTCCCTCTGCACCGACACCTGCAGCAGCAGCGGCTGCCGGGGCCGGCTCAGCTGCTGCCAGAAGTTCACGGCCTCGGTCACGTCGAAGGCCTTCCAGCCGCTCTCGTGGACGGACACCAGCCTGAGGACACGACACACATGACACGGAGACCCAGCGCCGCGTGAGGGCGGGGACTGAAACTGGCCGAGGTCCCGGCGCCGCCCCCCGAGTCCCCGCCCCCAAGCCCGGCCGAACAGCCCCCTCGCCCTGCCCTGCGCGCCCGCGCGACCCCTACCTGGAGTCGATGAGGGAGGTGCGGTTGGAGCCGTCGTCGCGGACGCTCAGCCACTCGACGGTGACCCGAGCCCGGTCGCTGCGCGGGGACAGCCGCCCGTGCCTGTGCAGCGCGGCCCTCGGGACCGGCTCCTGGAAGAGCCGCAGCACGGCCTGCACCAGCTCGCGGTTGGGCGGCAGCCGCTGCTCCATGCTGAACACCAGCAGGTGCGTGCTGGCCTCGGACGCCAGGAACCTGCCGGCCACCTCTGCGGACAAGAGCAGGGTCAGCGGGGTCAGCAGGGCCTCCTCGGACTCCAGGGGAGCTCTGAGGGTGACAGGGCCACTGAGCTGGCAGCCAGACTAGGAGACACAGGTCCCTGTTGTATCTCTGGGGCAAACCCAGTTTAAAAATCTTCCTTCAATCTGGGCCTTGTTTAGTAACAATCTCCATCCCGCAGGCAGGGACGCCTGCGGGACCTGAGCTAGCAAGGCTGCGGCAGCTGAGATGCTGGGAGCACAATCCTCACCCAGGTGCCTGGCCTTGGGCCTAGCTCTGGGCACTGAGGAGCTGGGGAGGTGAGAGGCTGCAGGAGGATTCAGGCCCAGGTGCACTCCTGACAGCCAAGTATAACCCAGGTATTTCACGTAGGCATTGTTCAGTTATCCCAACATGCTTCTATCCAGGAGGACTCACTTTGATGCTCAAAAAGCTGGGAGATGGCTAAGACGCAGTCATACCCCCTTTCCAGAGGAGCACATGGCAGAAACAGGGATTTAAAGCCATTTACTTAAGATCAGGCTCAGACCAGAGTGGCAGTGTGAAAACAGACCCAGGAGTCCAGCTGCACCAAGTGGTTTGAGGCACACACTCAGCTGCTCCCCCAGCTCTGCTTTCTCTCCTGTACCCTCCCTTTTCCCGTGCCTTGGTTTCTTCAGCAGGTCCAGCCTAGTGCACCTTCGGGGACAAACAGGGGCCCTCAGTGCACAGCTGGAGACCCTGGGCCCAGGCCCGGCCCCTCCTCACTGCCCCTTGCACTGTGGCCCCCACACAGCCTCTCACCGAGTCCCAAAAGACCAGGGGCCCTTTGACACCACTGGAGTGGGCACGACCAGCCAGCCTCCCACCATGGGACCGGGGGCGGCAGGGAGGGAGGGCCTCACCTCGGAAGCTCTGGCTGAACCTCTTCCCGCGGGAGTGGTCCCTGTGGCTGCGCTGCAGCAGGGCCACGTACTGGGCCCTCACCTGGGCGGGGATGGCCAGCTCCTCCATGTCGGCCCTGTCCAGGACAGGCGCCTCGCTGAGCTGCAGCTGTTGCAGCAGGCTGTCCAGGAGCTGCTCCCCGGTCAGGGTTGCCCCAGGGCCAGCGAGGGGCAGCACCCAGAGTGCCCAGCAGAGCCACAGGGGCTGCATGGCGCTGCCCTGGAAGAGTGGGGAGCAGAGTGGGTCTGTCCTCTAAGGAGGTGGAAGGAGGGTCTCAGGCAGCTGGGTGTGCTGAGAGCCAGGCCTGGGCAGCTTTATAGCCAGCCCTGGGCTGGCCTCGGGTAAAGGGAAGAGGGAGGGAGAAAGGGAGGGAGGGAGGCAAGGAGGTCACACCCCTGGGACCTCCTGGGAGCTCACAGCCAGACAGGTCCCTGAGCCTGGAGGAGGGGGCTGTCTAGAAAGGACAGGGCTGTCTGATGCCACCCAGGCCTGGGGCCTCTGGCTGTGCTGTCAGCAGCTCAACAATATTTTTAGTGCCTGTTGAATTTCCCTGTCCTTACCCCAGCTCTGTTCCCTGAAAAAGTGAGGCTGCCAGTGAAAAAGAAAGTCCTGCCAGCCAGCTACTTCAGGCTCTTTAAGTCTCTTGTGGAGGCTGGCCTGGGTCCAGGTTTGCGCATCATAAAGGAAGGGCAGGGAAGACTCTGCCTTCCTGCTGGTTCTGGCTACGTTTACAGAAGCCCCTTGATCACCTCCCTCCAACCTTCAGTCCTTGCACACCCTCTGCCTCTCCCAGCACCAGGAGTCCCTTAGGGTTGTCTCACAGTCCTTGTCCTCCCCCCATGACAGAGGATGCTAGACACTGTCAGGACACAAATCTTGCAGCTGTACTCTTTCTGGGACTCCCAGAACAGCAATTTCTTTTTCTTTTTCTTTTTCTTTTTTTGAGACAGAATTTCGCTCTTGTTACCCAGGCTGGAGTGCAATGGTGCGATCTTGGCTCACCACAACCTCTGCCTCCTGGATTCAGGCAATTCTCCTGCCTCAGCCTCCTGAGTAGCTGGGATTACAGGCACGCGCCACCATGCCTAGCTAATTTTTTTGTATTTTTAGTAGAGACGGGGTTTTACCATGTTGACCAGGATGGTCTCGATCTCTCGACCTCATGATCCACCTGTCTCGGCCTCCCAAAGTGCTGGGATTACAGGCTTGAGCCACCGCTCCCGGCCTCAGAATAGCAATTTCTGTGAGTACCTTTGCAATCACATGACCACAGCATGGGAGACCCCCCTTCAGACAGCAGAATGATTCTGGAGTGAGCTCTCCCCGGTGAGCTGGCTGGCCGGTTCACGTCACCAACACTCAGCTGGAGCCCAGGTCATTTCCAGACACAGACGAGGGACAGAAACCTACAAAGCAGAGGCCAGAGCTGCCCAGAGGCATGGCCTGTCCAAAGTCACAGGTACTGGGGGCAGACTGAGGTGGGAGCCCCCCCATGCCTCCTCAAACACACGTTTTAGACTGGCTGGGTTCAAACATGAGACCTGCTAACTGTTTGGCCTGTCAGCCAGTTATTTAACTGCTCAGTGCCTCAGTTTCCCCATCTGCAGGAAGACGGTGATGATCATAAGGTCTTCTTCACAGGGTTAGGAAGAAGATTAAATGCATTAATACATGCAGGCCATTCCACCCAGTGTCCACTGACAGGTAAACACGCTGTAAGGGTTTCCTATAGTGATTAGCCCTGAAATCTGCATTCACAGGGTCATGACTTTTTCTAAAACTATCAACAGCAATAATAGCACACATTTCCTGAGTGCTCACTATGTGCCAGTCATTGTTCTAAGCTCAGAATGTGTATTCACACAGCCCTTAGGAGGCAGGTGTCAGCGTCAGTTACATCTCTCAGACTGAATGTCAGAGTACCGCTTGAAGAAGCGACCTCCTCACGAACCTCGGTGGAGGGCTTGGGAGCTAAATGCAGCGTCTGTCTCTGTAGGCATCTCCTCCTGCCACTGGCATGGGGCATTTGAGGATGTGCAGGGGGAAGCTCTTCCCAAATCTCCACAGCTTCACTTGCCCATGTTCTGTCGCATGCAAGGTGAGCAAGGATGGTGGAGGGGGACAAGGACCCTGGGCTGAGGGGGCCAGCAGGCAAGGAGCATCCCCCTTCACCTTCTAAGAGGGGGCACTCTGGCTCCTTTGTGGGAATGCTGTGTCACTGACAGGTCTCTCATGTCATCCTCCTGCTTCTGTCCTCAAAAATCCCAGGCAGCGGAAGAGGGAATCTTCTGGTGCTCAAAGGTGGAATTTCTTTTGGATGAAGGCCCAGGGACTTCATGCACAAATTGCCACCATATACAAGTGCATATATGCATATGCATTTGTATATGTATATGGAAGTCTCATATTTGAACTCAGTCTAAAATGTGCATTTGAGGAGGCATGGGGGGGGCTCCCACCTCAATTTGCCCCCAGTACCTGTTGCTTTGGACAGGCCATGCTTCTGGACAGCCCTGGCCTCTGCTTTCTAGGTTCCTGTCCCTTGTTCTGTGTCTGGAAATGACCTGAGCTCCAGCTGGGTCCTGGTGGCATGAGCCAGTCTGCGGAAAGCACACCCCAGAATGATTCTGCTGTCTGAAGGAGCTTTTAATAGTGTGTGTGCTGGGGCAGTGTTTAGCATCAGAGAAGGGGGAGGAATAAGAATAATACTGATAAGGCCGGGCGCGGTGGCTCACGCCTGTAATCCCAGCACTTTGGGAGGCCGAGGCGGGTGGATCACGAGGTCAAGAGATCGAGACCATTCTGGTCAACAAGGTGAAACCCCGTCTCTACTAAAAATACAAAAAGTAGCTGGGCATGGTGGCTCGTGCCTGTAGTCCCAGCTACTCGGGAGGCTGAGGCAGGAGAATTGCTTGAACCCAGAAGGCGGAGATTGTGGTGAGCCAAGATCGTGCCATTGTACTCCAGTCTGGGTAACAACAGCAAAACTCCATCTCAAAAAAAAAAATAATAATAATAATAATACTGATGATAATCATAATGGGCTGGGTGTGGTGTGACTCACGCCTGTAATCCCAGCACTCTGGGGGGCCAAGGCAGGAGGATCACTTGAGGCCAGGAGTTCGAGACCAGCTTGGACAACATAGCAAGACCCCATCTCTACAGATAAACATAAATAATAACCGTAATGGCTAATAGTGCTTGTAGGCCATGCACTATTCTGAATTTTTTTTTTTTAGACAGAGTCTAGCTCTATCTCCCAGGCTGGAGGGCAATGATGCGATCTCGGCTCACTGCAACCTCCACCTCCCAGGTTCAAGTGATTCTCCTGCCTTAGCCTCCCGAGTACCTGGTCACCATAACTTGAGGAGGAAGTTGTCATTATTATTTCCATTTTATAGATGAAGAAACTGAGCATAAAACTGTTGCCTGACAGGCCGGCACAGTGGCTCACACCTGTAATTCTAGCACTGTGGGAGGCTGAGATGGGTAGATCACAAGGTCAGGAGTTTGAGACCAGGATGGCCAAGATGGTGAAACCCCGTCTCTACTAAAAATACAAAAATTAGATGGCTATGGTGGCACGTGTCTGTAGTCCCAGGTACTCGGGAGGCTGAGTCAAAAGAATCGCTTGAGTCTGGCAGGCAGAGGTGGCAGTGAGCCGAGATTGCGCCACTGCACTCCAACCTGGGCGACAGTGCAGGACTCCATCTCAAACAAACAAACAAAACTGTTGCCTGACTAGCCTAAGGTCATACAGCTAGTAGGTGCTAGAGCTCAAGGTATCTGAAGGGAAGGAACAGGGATTTGGTCACATGTGTCCACAGGTCAAAGTAAGAGGAAATACATAAATCCTAACAGCTGACCCAGGGTGGGGAAAGGAGACCCTTCTGGTCATAGAATCATGATCTCAGCTGCTTCTCTGTTCCCCTTTCCTTTTCTCTCCCATCTGTATTTCCATGGAATTTGTGTAATTCACAAGGAGGAATTCAAATCTCATCTTGGAATTCATCTCCCATAATTTGAACATTTCGTGAAACATTAGGTCCCACCACTGTGTCCGGTCCAAACAAGACCTTCTGCTCTCTGTGACAAGGGTAGCTTTCTTCAAAAGAGAAGTGATTGCTTTTCTTTACAAGTGATTAACAGGGAAAGGACTTACTTGATGCAAACATTTGGGTCTTAAGTCAGGCCAAAAGGTGCAGAAGTGTCACATTTACAGGCAAACCAGGACCTGTGGGCCTCAGTCCCTGGAAGCTGTTCTGGGCTGGTAAATATGCAATAGTCCACTACCCCGGCTGCTGGGCGACAGGAGCCCTGTGGCTTATCACTGGCGCCAAGGATATAACACCCAGGCTGTCCTTGCATGCCACTACCCCCCACAAATCCCCAACATCTAGACCCACTGGGAGCTCCCTGAGGCTGGATGCTCACAATGAGACCTCGAAGGCCCCCGTTCTTGTTCAGCAGGGACCTGCTGCTCCAGGGCTGAGGGAGGCCAGGCCTCTGGTGCTGCTGCTTCCCTGACCTGCAGATGCCCACTCAGGACTCTCTCCCAGCTAGGAAACACCACAGGGCTGAGAACCTCTGGAAGTCCCTGGGGAGTCAGGAGCTCCTTCTACACCTGGGGTAATAGAACAGACAAATTGAAACATTTCCAGAGAAGACAGTAAAGTGGAAGGACCCCCGACACACACACCCATTTCTTGATTCCCTGCCTCCCCCAGATGTCTTACTGGTATTTCTGGATCAGCCTCTCAGCACAGGACCAAAGCTAGAGCAGAGCCCTCAACAGGAAGTGAGACTACGCAGTCAATACCCAGCCTCTCTAAGGACCGATCCTGCCTGCAGGGATGGGTGTCCGGGATGTGGTGCTCAGGGTGGCCCTGGGGACCACAGGGAGCCTAGGCAAGTGACCCATGATTGGGAAACTGAGATCCCTTCCTAATGTTATGGGACCTCCCTTAGGTAGAGGAGCCTGGGAACATTTAGCACCAATGGAGGAGTTTGTCCATTGGTGCTAAATGTTCCCTCTTTCTTTCACCTGCTAGTTTGTAGAATCAAAGAGAGCTTAGCACTGAAATTGACTATCCAGGCCATTCTTCTGACCCCGGGTTTTAGAAAAAAGAAAACTGAGGCTCAAAGAGATGACAATTTCCCCAAGTGCACACAGTCGATGATCGATAATCAATATCCCCACAAAGTCAGGTCTTCCCATTCCCAGACCAAAGTTCTTTCCATGCCCTCAAACTATTTCCAGTGCCCAGTCCTGCCCTGACCCCCTGAAGCCAGTGGGGTCATCTGTCAGCAAGCTGGGGACTCAGTCAACCCAGTGTCGGGTCTGGGAGTGGGGCAGGGAGGCGTGAGAAGCAGACAAACAGACAAAGGCCAAATCCTTCAGGCTCTTAAGCCCAAGACACAGGCCTGGGTCCTAAATGTGGATTCCCGGCCGTCTGAAGAGTATTGCTGGGAAAATAAAATAATTGGGCAATTAGCTATCAGCCAAAAGAAGAGCTCGAATGTGTATTAGGAGACTTTTTACAATGGGCTGATTAGTCATCAGGAGGGAGGGCAGCCGCCCTTTGTCGTGCAGAGGAAGGAGCTGGGCCTCTGAGGGTCTG